TAGCTCCTCATCTTCTCCTGTGTGATGACTCAAAACTCCCCTAAAACGAAGAAGTCAGCCAACTTAGATAAATTAAAAGAAAAAACTTTGTTTTCCCAACAGTGAAGGAGAAAGTCATTATTAAAATAGGTTTGGTATACTGAATAATAAGATTAAGAATTTTTAAAAAATCCGCTCATTAAAACATAGTGTTGCTAAAATAAACTAATCCTCTATATCAAATCTTTTGTTCAAACACCTGCTGGTAATGAAGGCTGACTGAGGAGTTTAAAGGAGTGGATAAGGTCTTCACTGTTCATAAGCATAAAGGAGAAAAAAGTCAGTGAACAGTCAGCATACAGTCAACATAGGACTCAGATGTTAGAGCTTATTTTCTGACCTCTAGTAGCAGAGATTTACTGAAAACCTTACACATGACATAATGCATCATATCAAATATGCACTATTAACTTGGTTTTGTAAACCTGCATGTAGGTTTTGTAAGAGAGGAACTGTAAATATAAAGAATAATAACCATAACTAGATGAAATAAAAGCACATATAAAACAAGAGGCAATCACTGACATTGCTTAAAATATAACATTTCATGTTAAAAGTGAAATAAGACATTGAGGCATTTCTGTATTTCCCATGTTTCAACACATTTTTGTTCTGTGCTGTTTTCTGCTCCTACAATTTCCATGTTGCACACACAGGACCAGGGGAAGTCAAACACGGGCCATGCAGAAATGACGCCGCACAGAGCTGCTTAATAATATTGAGAGTTCTTGTTACCTGTATGGAGTTCAGCTGTGCAGCCAAACTATGAAATGAAAGCTAAGTAGCCTGTGTTTGTGTAGGCAGACTGATGGGTGAACATACTACATGTGCATATGTAGACAGGAGACCTGCTCCTGGCCAACAGCAGTCCTCATTATGAAGTCAGAGCGGTGGGGAGGGAGAGAGACAGACAGGAGTCCTTGTTTGACAAAGTGTGTTTTGGTTGGAGCTGCTAATTGAACTGATGTCACAGAGGCTTGAGGAGCATTAGGCCTCCATCTCTGCGGACTTGACCACAATAGATAAAGATGGAGGCACTGCAGAGAGTCGGTCACTCTCACACCTAGCCCTTCAGTTAAAAGTTAAGGTACAAGTGTGTGTGTATGTGGGCATCCTCATACACACCAACACACATGCTTTCCTCTCACTTTCTCTCTCTCCCCAAGTCCAATAAGAAGTATAATGAGTTTAATGATGGTAGGAGGCTGGAGAGGCACGGCTCCTTATTAATCACCTCCCACAGCTGGCCAGACACGGCAGAGAGCCTTTTGTACGTACACACACCCTCTCTCTCCTAAACACATACACACACAGATGTAGACATGTGCAATGAATTTCACTGGCCACTTCACATTCATACATTCTTATCTTCCACCATAGTTTCACTTTTGGTTAATTTTTTTATTATTATTATTGAGATGCACGAGTGTTTGTTTTGTCATTGCATTGTAGTTTTAATATTTTGTATTATGATCTGAACATATCAACTGGAAAGAATGTGATGACACATTCAAAAAGCTCAGCATTTTTTTCCTGAATGTTTAATTCAAATTCCTTTTTCTTCAGAAAGCCACATGTAATGTAAGTCTAGGTCAAGCTATTCCCAGCTCTGACTTGGTGAATGTTATTAGAATGGAGTTATTTCACTTTGTTTGTGGGCCTCTGTGTGTATTTGGCTTATGAGCTTATATGGGCAAAGCTGGACTGATGTTTATTTCACATCCCCAGGTCCATTTTTTATGCATTATTCAAAACTTGTTATAGAAATTGCCACTCTTAAAGCAGGAGGGACTGTATTTGTTTATATTATTATGCCAGATTTTCTATTCACATGCATAGCCACTATGACAAGGCTCTTTTATTGCAGTAAAAGGCAATAAACCTTCTTCACCATCCCTCATCGCTGATATTGGATATGATATAGTCAGCATCAGGGGTCTTTACATCACGAACTCCCAGGTGCTACAGGGTTGATTCTGAGGACCTCCACCATATTTCCATGGCATTGCCTCAGCTTCTTTTGCATTCAGTGTATTGTTATTTAACTAGGTGTATTTTTTTGTGCTTCCTGAAAAACCTGACATATTTTAGATTGGTCTTTGGAGGCATTGAAGATGAGAAATCTGGGTTTTCCTTTTGCTCAGAGCGAACTGTCAGATCTCCATTACTGGCAGCTGAAATCAAGGCAACAGTGTAGGACCAGGTGAGGTTGGAATGGCAGCATGAGGTTGTTGAAAGACTGAACACCCTGCAAAGTCGAGAGCTTTTGAATTTGCAGCAGTGTGTGAATTTGGACTGTGAGTAGTCTTTATGATATGTATAATGGCTTAAAATCTGAATCCATAATTTATGTACAGGATTCAGAGAACAGCATCTCAATCAGCTGTTGTTTGTATCTCTCCACTGGGTATTTGAAATAAACTTCAATTTAGTTTTTTTCTGATGGCAGTGAAGTGAGTTTAACTTCAGTATTGTCATTTGGGGGGAATTCAGATTTTTTATTCAGGTTTTGTTGTAAGAGGGTGTTAGACGTCTTAGTTAAAGTCTTATCGCTGAGTCAAACTCCCTTTCAAATTTGTGAAACCTTATTTTATATGTAAAAATTCAAAACTGTCAATTTCACTGTTTTTTCTATTTAGACAACAGGTCGAGATCTTAAACAGGATAAATATTTTTAAATGTTTTAAACTCTCCCTGTTAATCTAGTCCAGATTTGGTAAACCTAAATGGTTTATGATCTAGACCTTATCCAGTGTGGACTGGATGGAGCAAAAAGTAGTGAACTGCCCTTTTCTGAGTTTTCACAAACAGTTTTAAACGGCTGCTGTAGTATATTTGTTAAGTCCATGTTTGCCAAATGTTTTTAACATACCCCTGGTCTGATTGTCACAGAAACATTTTTTTTTTTCATGAAAACAAATGTTTAGTTAGTCATTTGTTGTCATCCTCTAATAACAGAGCTGTGGATTAATGGACACAGCATGTGCAGGTTTTGGCACTAAAAATAAAGTGAACCTGCTTTTAAAAAATACAAATAGATTTTATTTATCAATTAACTTCATGAGGCACTAAACAAACCTCTGTGGATTTAAGCTGTCTCCTTGTCTTCTGTCTCTTCATGTGACTCCATAATGTTGGGACCATTTGTTGCAGAATATCTTGCTCCTCTTGTCCCTGGAGATTTAGTTCTGTATGGCCCTGGCTGGATATTTAGATTTGGTGTCATGCTACCGAATGAATCAGATACCTCTTGATGGTACTGTGTAATGGATAAGAATCTAAACATCTGAAGTGGCTACAGCCTTTGCACAGTGCTGTTTGTTGGTAATTTCAACATAGAGGAACTAATGTACAGTGTGATCCCCATATGTCACTAAAAATGTCCTGCAGAATGATTGCTTGAAAAGAGAGGGAACCCTGTCTAAGTTTCAAAATATAAATCCAGAAGCCTTTCAACTAAATAATTTCAAGCAACATGCAGTCACATTCCTACTGCCGTCCACACACGTTAATAAGTAAGGAATGAGTTGTGTGATTCATGGATGACATGTAGGTTAGTTCTGCTTTGCATTGTGTGGTATGTGTGTAATTTAAGCCACATTTCATATTTTTTGCTTCCAGTATTAGGTGATTTTGAGATTCATGCAAATATCGGACAAGGTTTGAAATTATATTTGTGATTCTCACTGGCCAGCTCATTTTCTATTTTATTTTTAGTTAGACAAATAATCTTATCCCCGAACTGCTTAACCGAGCCTCACTGTTAGTGTTCTTCACTGGAGTTTAATACTGGCTCATTAATTTAGAACTTTAATCAAAGATGTACACGGCATAGGTGTCCAGTCACTAAAAGTTAATCCTGACAGTCAGCAAGCCCCAGAGCGTCTGATGTCAGTTCAGTCAATGGGACAGCCTTGTGACACATGCACTAACCACCTTGCTGTAAGCTGCATATATTTTAGCTGCAGTTGATGTGGAAACCTTCAGAGACCTTGAATGAGGTGTAGTTTCAAACGCAGTAATTATCCCCTTAGCCCCCTGCACTGACACTAATCCTCAGAGAGTGCAGGGAGAAATGCTCACCAGACAGGCCTCATTAAATATTTACCATGTTTGGCCACCATTAACAACTCGCACAACAAACACCCACAGATCATTTTTCCTCCCATTCATGCCACATGTTGCTTTTCTGTCACTGCAGGTGGTGGCGAGACATTGATGTGGATGGGTTTTTTTTTCTTCCATTTTGTTATTGGCTGATAATCACACACGGACTGGTCTGTGATGTGTGATGATGTTAAATATTAATGTCTGGAGATGATTACTGCAGTAGATGGAGGGAGGCAGGAAGTGCGGTGGAGGTGACACCCTCATTCATCACAAGGCTCTAACAGAATCTAAATCCTCCCTGTGTTTTTAACCTTGGTACCTTTGGGGAAGAGAAGTAAAGAGAGAGCTAGGGAGAGGAGGAGATAGAGAAGTGGGTGGATAGGGAGAGACAGAGAAAGATGAAAGAGATAGAGAGGGAGAAGAAACAAGGAGACAGGGAAACAGAGCTGACACAAAGTGAGTTATGTAGTAACAGTAAAAGTGTGTGAAAAATATAAAGATAGATAGATGAATGGGAAGTGAGACCAGAGAGAGCATAAAAAATGAGGCAAGGCAGTGAAAAATACTCCTGCATACTATATGATGTATAGTGCTCCTCCCCTCACCTGACCTGTCAGCCTTTCCCATGTGACACGCTGACGGATGTACAGAAAGAAACTCGTATCTTATTTTGCCAAGGCCTGTCAGTCACTCAAGGCCTATTTGGCATAAATAAACAAGTGGTAGAGAAAATCGTAGCCATATTGCCTTCTCTTTTCTGGTGTCATTTTCTCCAGATGTACCACTACCTCCACCATCTTATTCATTTAGCTGGGTACAAACAGGGGCCCAGACTGCCTATTACCCAACTATTATCTTCTTGACTCATATCATCAAATGTAGCACCACAGAAGAAGCAAAACACTTTTGAAGCAGGTGTCCAAATGGAGGCAGAATACATACTTTAGGGACTTCTTAATGAGCCTTGCATATCATACTATTAGAGATTCAGTGCTGTGTTTTTCATTTTTACTGCCCAGCCCTAAAGGCAGCTGTCAACTAAGGTCCCTAACATCACACTGCTCTCTCCCATCCTCCATCTTTCCCCCTTGGTTGTAAATTAAGCTTGATCAATGACCTTTTCTGCCTGGCCTGTTTGTGTCTTGCCATGTTCAGCAAGTTGTCTAATGGGAGTGTATCCTTACTCTGTGTTCCATCTGAATAGTAAGCTATGTTGGGGTCAGGCAAACAGGGCTGGGTTGGTTTATATGGGGAGATATGTGGTACTGGATCCAACAACATACAATCTGATAAAACAGCCAAAGAGAGTTTTAAGAATGAGCAATGAAAGCTTTGAAAAAGGAGTTTAATTTCATATTTGTCACTGCTGAGATTTTCAGAACTGTCCTGTCCATTATGCTTGAGAAATGCTGTACACCAACAGAGACATTTCTGTTTGAACTTGTCATGCTTAATTCTTACTTTAATCACTTTAAATATTTATGGCTTCCTACACTAGACATGACAAATCCACTTGCCTGCAAATGTCCATGTTACATCGTTCGAGGTTAAATGCTGTGAAATGTCTCTGTCTCCATGATTGCAGGAGTACCAGTCATGCAACACCATGCCCTGTCCGGACCTGAAAAAGACCACACCGTGGACTCCATGGACACCCGTCAACATCTCTGACAATGGCGGGCACTATGAGCAGCGTTTCCGCTACACTTGCAAAGCTCGCATCCCCGATTCCAGCCTGCTAGAAGTGGGCAGGCAGAGGATTGAGATGCGCTACTGCTCGAGTGATGGATCTACCGGCTGCTCCACTGATGGTGAGCGCAAAGTGGAAGAGACAGATGATTGCTTTCCATCTGTCTTGGTCTCTGGATGTTTCTGTTATCTCACTTTAACTGTCTTTCTGCATCTTTGCAGGCTAAATATTGCTTTTGTACTTCCTTCATATGTATCTGTTGTTTATCAGATCTCGCTTTCTGGCATTCTCCAAGCTTTTCTTTTTCTGGCCTGCAAAAGTTAAAGGAGCCCTATCTTAATCAGCTCACATGTTTATGGTCCCATCCTCCTTGACTTTATCAGTGGATCAAAGCACCAGACATGTTAATGAACTTCTAATCCACAAAGCCATTTAGCAGTTTACAACTAATTTTAGCTCTTCAGTTCTATCTTTCACACTTGTACACACAAGGACACAAACACACGCAGACGCATGCACAAAGTTATAGCCTTGCAAATGAACACAAACACACACACACACTCTTTATCCATCATCCCAGCTATTCCCCTTGGCTGAGTCGGCACACCACACAGTCAGCCACACCCCTGCTGAATTTAAACGATGTAGATGTTGGTACAAACAGGCTGCTAATTGACAAGTTGTTTATGTGTCGAGTGGATCTGTATTAGAAGGGAGACAGCCAGGGTGGCACCACATCACAGCAAAAAGGCTTCAAATACAGATGCAGCAGTTAAAGTTTGTTTATGAAAGTTTGTTTATGGCTGCCTTAGAGGAGAAAGCTTTTTTTTTTAGGGCTTTGGAGTTAGTGCCGCTTTGGATTCCCGTTACTTTGAGTTCATCAGTGTGTCTGGGTGGTCTGTTACTACCCCACTCACATGCTGTGGTAATCACCGAGTCTGGCCTTAATGTACACCATCACAGGGGTTTTCTGTCTTTTGATCTCTCTGCTTCCTCATTTCTGATTATTAATCTGTCTTTCCTTCAGTGCTGTCGCTGGTACAAGTTGTTCTCTTCACAGTTTGAAGCCAATGCTTAAATGTTCCTGATGGATTTTAAATGAGCGCTGGCAGCCGCAGAGAAAACCTGACGGCAGACTCAAAGCTTTAGGAGGAGTGACAGCCACACTCTAAGACATTAGCGAACAAAGGCGTGTGCTAGGTCTGTATTTTTTCTGATTAGTGGGAGGAAGTAACAGTCACATTGTGTTTCATTAGAGGTTGTCACCAGAAGCCTGACATCAGATTACTTCAGTGTTAATTACACCAATTAAAAAAAGGAAGGCCTTGGGTTCAGTAGCCACTTTTGGCAGCATGTCAGTTTGTGTTGTCGGAGATACTGTAAGCAGCCTACAAGCAGGCAGATGGTGATATATGAGCTGTGTGGTACAAGCTCCAAATCTATTCAACAATTGGTGCACGAACATGCATGTTTTCCCAAATGTACCATCAGATAAAATGGGAATAACTGTTAACTCATCTTAAATAAAGGCAAACTATGTAGCAGTAATGCAGTAGGTCACGTTTAGACCCCTAGTTTAGAGAGGAGGTTATAATTTTCTCGTTAATAGAGACAGGCTTTATTATCCACTCTGTGCCAAAGATTATCAACAGCAGCAATTTGTCATGATGCTATTAAGCATAATATTCCATTTTTATTGGTATTTTAACTAGATAAATAATTACTGCAGGCAACACTGCCTGGCTACATTCCCTCAAAGCTTGTTCTTGTGATAAAGTAAAGAGTGATTTCATATGTAACCAAAATGTACTATAGCTCTGGGGTGGAGAGACACCTGGCGGGATCCCTCATAATGCCCTTCTGGGTGGGATGTACTTAGTCAGGGGTTGGCAGGGATTGTTCGGTGTGTGCTGTGCGGTTACCAGAGTGTGTGGGGGAAAATAAAAGAGAAAAAGGTAACTTCTGTCTCGGGCTCTTTCTTCAATAGTTCTCTATTCATAATTGTCTGCTCAAAGATTTGATTTTTTTTTTTTTTTTTAGAAAACCTCCGCTGTATGTTTGAAGGAAGAAGTTTGACATAATTTTTTTATCCTTGAAATCCTGTTTCACTCTAGTTTCAGTGCACCGCCTGACTACTGAGGTGTGCACGGCCTCTGTGTGCTACTCTCCTCTTGTCCCACATTGACTGTTCATCTCCAGACTTCAATATAATTCCCTTCTCAGAGGAGTTTTAAGTCATAACTGTCAAAAAGAGGATGGACTCCAGTGATCCAGTTCTTCATTTCCACCATTATCAAACTTGCCATCCATCTGGAGAGCAGTGGTGTGTTTATTTGTGTGTGCGCATTGGTGCAGACTGACATACATGTTCACCAGTTTTTTGTGTTTGTCTGTGTGTGTGTGTGTGTGTGTGTGTGTGTGTGTATGTGTGTGTATGTGCGCATGACATCTCATAGGTGCATGGGGTCCCTGAGCCCTGGGGACAGTTTAACTTTTCTTCAAGTAAGAGGCCATTGCAGGATAATTACCGCAACAGTGGTGGTGGGTATTGACGTCCTCTATCAGAGAAATGGCCGCTGTAATCCCTCTGCGATGATGAGCACCCAAAAGGAATGATGTGTCACCCTATAAAGATTTACTATTTGCATCAGGTGGCTTAGTATTGATTAAAGCTCCTTGTACAACCGGATGTTTTTCCTGTGAGAGTCACTACAATGTTGTAAGGAATTTGAAAATGTGAATCCATTGTTCATTACATATTGCAAATTTAAAAATATTTTACATTATTTTACTAGCGACTCATCAGCAGAAATTGTATATTATTTATTTTTCTTACCCAGCCTTCTTCCCGCAAATGAATCTTTAAACCGCTATAAATCTTCCACACCACTTGACACATCTTCTGTATTTAACACAGAAGAAGCTGAATATAAGACAATGTGGTTGCAGTCAGACTGGGGGTTCTTTTGGATAGTTCTTTTTCTCCCCCCACTCAGGCAGAATCTCACTATGTTTGTAGCTTTGGGTATCGGAGCTATAAGATATACCTGACATTTGGATTGTATACAGGGACAAGATGCAGGTTACTGACATATCCCTGGAAGTCGTATCTGTGATGCACAGATATGGAGAACTAACCTCTCATTAACAGCGAGGATAAATAGATGTTTGAAATATGCTAACAGCTTTCCCAACCTCCTGTGACCTTGTCTTTTTCTTTGTGTCTCATTGAAGATCTGTCTTTATTATGCAAGATAAATTATGAATATATGATCCATCCAAGCATTTACAATGAGCTTTTATATAACATACTGACTTGTTTCATATCAGTGATCATGGCTTAATGATGTCGATGCATTAATTACTTAAGATCTGCAGTGATATAAAGACCTCTTTTGACACGTATGCCCAGCAGATTAGTCTTGTAGCTGTGGTCGCCATTTTCCCCTTTTATCATACTTCATATGCCTGAATGAAAAACCAAACATCTGACCATTTTTATAATCACTGTATAGGTGGGTATTTTTAAACATCTATCAAGCAAAATCCCACAGGCAATTTGTAAAAGATAATTTATAAAGCTTTCCTTTTTCTTCCCAATACAGAAGTCTTCTTGCCACTCAATAATGTAGCATGTGTTCATGTAATATTTATGCATTAATACACAATTTATTATTACTTGGTGGTTTACACAGGGCAGTTGGTGTTTGCACACTCTCAGTCCTGCACCCAGCCCTATTCAAGATTTGTCCTTTTCTAGATGGCAGCACAGTGTAGTGGCATCCCAGAAGCTCAGTCTTTCTCAAAGGCACCTCAGGTAGAATTTATACTATCATAGATGCAAATGATTGTGCTAAACCCTACTACCCTTAGATAATGTTGCTAAGCAGTTTTCATATGGCTCATATGCAGTTTACAATGATAATGGTAGCAGATGTAACACTGGAAATTCCTGGTAATTTTTTTAAACAAAATTTCAAAGGTAGACAAAAGCAGACGTTTCATTTATAACTGGTGATCATCAAATGAAATGGCTGTCACAAGAAGATTTTATCAGCTGTAACAAGCTGTCTAATTAAGCCAGAGTTTCAACCATGAAATGGATGAAAATGCTATGTTTTGGGGGATTTTTTTTTTCTTCTTTAATATGATGGCTGCATGTTGTGCATGTAGACTGAGCACAAAGCTACATGACCAGGTTAAATGCCAGCACCCCCACCAGCTGATGATCCATGCAGAAAAACAGTAAATAAACAGCTATTAATTGTAATGCAGTGTAAATATCCACCCATCCATTATCTATACCGCTTATTCCTGAATAGAGTCACTGGGGGCTGGAGCCAATACCAGCTGACACTGGGTGAAAGGCAGGGTAGACACTGGACAGGTCGCCAAACAACCACACACACACAAACGCACTCCTATAGGCAATTTAGAGTCAGCAGTCAGCCTAAGCTGCATGTTTTTGGACTGTGTGAGGAAGCCAGAATACCCAGAGAGAACCCACACAGGCTCAGTGAGAACATGCAAACTCTGCACAAAAAGGCCCCGGGTCGGCCAGAACCTTCTTGCTGTGAGGCGACAGCGCTAACCACCATGCTGAGTTCCACCAAGTGTAAATATATTAAGGCAAATATCTTATATAACCTTGCCTGACTTCTAGCTTATGTACTCCTTTGTATTTTAAACACTACTGTATGTTATGTTCTAACATGACAAGAGAAAATGTGTTTAGGATGAGGACTAACTGATGGTTGTTTGGCTAATATAATGCCATCCTGAGTAGTGGAAGCTGAGGTTGCTGGATTGTAAACTTCCCCAAATCCAATAACAACAGTCGGAGCTGCATAAACTCTGATAGTATCTAGGATATCTATACTTCCATTCACAAGGACAGTATTACAAAGGGACTTTCTTCCCATAATCTCTTATGTGCTCTTTGACTTTGGAAGTAACATGTGATTACCAATGTAGGTACAGTAGACCAGCTGTTTTCAGGTTTCACTGGTGCAGATAAACCATATCACACATGTTTGCCCTTGTGTTTTCAGTTTCATAAAGGGTAAACAAATACATCACCCTGCAAACTCTTACAAGGCTTGTCTTGCTGACACAGTTAAG